GGAACTAAGCCTGGCTTAGTCTCAGAACTATGCATCTGCTCCATCATTTAACAGGCAGGGAAGCTTGGGGAACGACCCATGGCGGCCGTTGCATTGGGGCTTGTCAGACACTGTCTCACCAACTTCAGTATACTATCAGTCAGTCCCCACTGCCTGCCTTCTAACTTACAAGCAGTCCAGGAAGTGGCACTGGATGCCAACCTTCTTCTCCTTAGTCTTCGTGTTGCCCTTGTAGAACTCAGCAGGGAGGCAGATGTGGCACAACTAGACTTAGTTGGCTCTGCCTGTCATTGGTTCTGGCTCCAACAAGCATTGGGCTCTCTACCTTCTGCCCTACCAGTCCCACTGGACACCAGCCACTAGTGGAATGGTGCATGAAATCCAGAGCTAGCGAATCCCCCAACAGCTGGCTGTCCAGCTTCTGCTCAGATTTCAATAAGTACATAAGAAGGTAAGTGCTCTCACAGCCAGATGCCTGTAGGAAGTCCACAAGCAGGGCCCAACCACAAGAGCATTCTTCCTCCTGTGGTTTCCAGCAACTGGTATTCAGGAACATTACTGCTTCCTACCATGATGGCAAAGCATAGACATCATGACTAGTAGCCACTGATAGCACCATAGTCCAGGAATTTGTACAATCCTCTTTTGAAGCCATCACTGCTTCTTGTGGAAGTGGGATCCCTGGTTCCCTTGAACATCAGTCGGAGATAACCTGAATCATCTGAGTTGGGACTAAGTTCAGAAGCTCCAGGAGATCTTCCCTATCAACTGCTGCACACAACTGAATAACAGGATGCAGCCCTTTTAATGTACAATCAGTCTCTCCTATGGGAGTGGGGCTTCACACACACTTATCTCTGAAGGTCTATGCAATCCATCTGTCAATGGCAGACCGCTGCTGCAGCAATATACTTAGTTCATTTCTGAACAAGACTGGCATAATTCCTTTCATTCCCCATCTTCACTTGAGGAATCTTCATGCTTATGGGTTCAAAATGACATCTACACAGAAGGCAAAAGTATATACACACTCAGGGTGACTCCAAGGTTTGTAAAAACAGTCCCCAACCCCCCAAAAATTAGCACAGTGAGACTTGAGCATCCTCAACAGCTGTTAGACAACTGACAGTCAAAGGGGGAACAGAAAACCAGGTGGGAGAATTAATGGAATGGAGTATTCTGGATGAAGGAAGAGACACAGAGATATTCTCATTGTCTGGGCATGTCATTTCCTGGATCAGACTGAGAAGTTATTTTTAAATGGGAGCTAGAAGTGGAAGCTGCCTACTGACACCAGTGGAGAAATCAAATTTTGTATTGTATCAATGATTGGGCAGCAGTGTCCACCCAGACCCCAAAGACCCACAAATAACAACTCAATGAGGACTGAACATGTTGAGTAGGTGTCGCAGTATGGCTGAGTAGTATGGCTGTTGCAGATGAGGGAATGGGAAACCAGGGGAAAGAACACGGAATGGCTGGAACCCTGAACAAAAGCACTCCACACTGCAGGCATGTTGTTGCAGGTTCCCAATTGTTACTCCTAATTATGGAGTTTCATCCAAAAGGAGCTCTCCATGGTACTGACACCCACCAGGATTTTCCAACACTGGTTTTCATGGCCTAGGACAGTGTATTCCAACCTTGGGTCCCTTAATGTTGCTGCACCACAGCTTCCATCATCCATGACAAACTGGTTGAGGATAATTGGAGTTGTAGTCCTACAATATCTGGAGACCCAAGTCTGAAGAATACTGGTCTAGGACATGTGTAGTCAACAAGACACCCTCCAAGTGTTATGGACTCCAACTCCCATCACTCCTGACCATTGCCTATGCTAGCTGAGGCTGATGGGAGCTGGAGCCCAACAGCATATGGAGGGCACCACATTGGCTATCCATGTCTAGGATCTTGACCTCCTACCTGCACTTTGCCACACCTGTTCAGAATGCCCAGAAGGTGATCACTGGTGAATGAATTAACAGGGAGAGATGCTTCTTGTTTATTGTTTAGAGAACCATACCCAGTATTGCCAATTACCTAGTTGCTATCTAAGAATGCTTAGCAGTTCCACAAACATCACTCTGAATTAAATTATCAGATGTTCAGACAACATACTCTGGAATTTAACAGTGTGTTAAACGATTACAGGGGAATGAGTGCAGGAGAGCCAACAAAGAAGCAGGAAGAGCTGATTCAGATAGCAAATGAGGAAAATGTTCTTCTAAAATTGATGGCACAAAATATATGCTAGGGCAAACTGTTGACTTCCATGGGCCAGAGGAAGAGGAGGGGAAAGTTCTCTTGCTCCCGGTGACAAGCCTCAAAACCTGAAAGCTCATGCTGAAAACTTCAAATGGGTACAACAAATAAAGGTGACTACAGATGAAGAAACTGCTCTATGGTGGTGATGCCACCTTGCTGAGGCTTCAACCAGGCAGCCAATGATTCGTTTCTGTTGTGCCTTGTCCGATTGATGGAGCTGAGCTATAGGCAGCAGCCTGAGTTGAGGCGGGAACCTGGAACCAGAAGACTAGTGGAGGTTGGTGTGGTTGGCAGTGACGCACCAATCTCAATCTGCTCTCAGCCAGCTCCATCTATCTGCCATCTTACTTGAAACCAGGCCACGGGGCATCATGTCCTGTGGCAGCTTCTTTTTTTTAGTCTCAGGGTTGTCCTTGCAGAACTCAGTAGGCAGGGGTGGGGTGGGGTGGAGAGTCAGGGGTGGGGCAGAGGTAGACCCTGGTGGTGATTGGAGGGATGTCATGGCTGAAGCAGACAAAACAAGAAGGAACATACAGGGAGTCCTGCTGGGTCAGACTAATGGCCCATTTGGTACAGCATCCAGTTTTCACAATGGCTACCAGGATGCCTATGGGAACAAGAACACTCTCCTTTTCTGGGGTTTCCATCAACTGGTGTTAAGAAGAAGAAGAAGAAGAAGAAGAAGAAGAAGAAGAAGAAGGGGAGGAGGAGTTTGGATTTGGTATCCCGCTTTATCACTACCCGAAGCGGCTAACATTCTCCTTTCCCTTCCTCCCCCAAAACAAACGGCTGAGAAACTTCAGAGAAGTGTGACTAGCCAAGGTCACCCAGTAGCTGCATGTGGAGGAGCGGGGAAGCGAACCCACTTCACCAGATTATGAGTCTACCGCTCTTAACCACTACACCACGCTGACTGTGGAGTCAGAGCATAGCCATTGTGGCTAGTAGCCATGGAAAACTTCCTCCTCCGTGACCTTCTTTTAAAGCCATCCAGGTTGGTGGCCGTCATTGCCTCCTGTGCAAGTGAGTTCCATAGCTTAACTCGGTGCTACTTCCTTTTATCTGTCCTGAAGCTTTCAAAATTCAGTTTCATTGGATGTCCATGAGTTCTGGTGTCATGGAGAGGGAGAAAAACTTTTCTGGATCTACTTTCTCCATGCCAGGCATAATTCTTTAAACTTCTATCACGTCACCACTTGCTTTTCTCTAAAACAGTGGTTTTCAACCAGTGTGGCGTGGCACCCTGGGGTGCCTTGAATGATGGCCTTGGGCAACACTGGCCTCTGTCCCTCTTCCCTTCCTTCCCTTCCTCCTCTGACGCACCCTCACATCTCTGCCTCCCAAAGGCTTGCACAGTTGTTGTTTGTTGCAGCAGCCCTGGCTACAAGCTCCATAGGCAAATGGTGCCCCTGGGGCTGGCTAGGGGGTGCTTCCCAGGCCCCTGTGGGGCAGTATGAAGAGGCACATCTCTTTGGGGAGCTCAGAGACCAGGGGTGGCAGCAGCACCTGCCTGGAGGACTCCCAAGGAGAGGGAAGAGGAGAGGAGGCTGAGGGAACGCTCCACAAGGGAGGGTGTTCAAAAAGGGGTGAGAGGCTGCTGGCTCCCCAGGCAAGGGGTGACATAATTGAGATCCTGAGCCCCACAGGGGTGCCGCAGAAATAATGTAATGGTAAAGGGAGCCATGGACTCAAAAAGGTTGAAAATATCTGCTCTAAAAGATCCCAAACACTGCAACCTTCCCTCACCGCTGGTCAGCACCAAAAGTGGTCCTTTCTGTGGTAGCTGAGAGGGGGTTTCTCAGGGTGAACCTCCCCATCTTCTCACAGAGGGGAAGATCTGCAAAACCATATGGCCTTTGGGATACCCTCTCCAAGGACCATAGGATTGCATCCTTATTCTGCCCACAATATCTCAATATGCACAGTGAAGCAGTTCATAATAAAGCAGCACATAAATATGAAAATATTGGATACTAAGAACCCATTAAGCAATTCATCAGAGCACTACTGAGTGTAAGTTCAATAGGGCCAATCATCATAAATCAACCCACAATTACTAGATCATCACTGCATTTCAAAAACAACTAAAGGAGAAACAATACTATCTGATAGTATTATGATAGGCCAAGAAGTACGCAGTTAATAGAAATTGCAATAAAATCAATTGCCTTTAACAAATCTATAATCCTAAAGGGTGTGCAATGAAGAGCCAAGACATAGTCATTAATTCTATTCATACTTCTGATCATTTAAAGGGGGAGCTTCCTCCCTGATCTAGAATCATAGAATTGTAGCATTGGAAAGGACCCCAAGGGTCATCTAGTCCCTGCAGTGCAGGAATCACAGCTAAATAATCACAACTAAAGAAGCATCCACACTTTTCTTATTTCAAGATCATTTCAGCTATCAGGGACAGTTTCATCCATGAGGAAAGGAGAAGCAATCAGCTTCTGAGCATCTGCTACCCGTGACTACCAGCTTTGAATGAGCACCCAGGCACAATACTGGCACAGAGGCTTCTATAAAGCCTGAGTTTTAATTACAAGTGGAATAAGAAGTTCAGAGGAAGGGTGTTTGACTCACAATGCAACTGAGTACTACAAGCTGGGAAAATGTGTATTTTGAGGCTAGTGTTTTCAAACTTCAGTGCCATCACCAGGAGTGCCAAATTAGTTCCAGGTGGGTTGAAATGAAAGCCGATGGAGGTGGACTGAGGAGTAATTGCTGGCTGGGGAGGGAACATAGCCTAATGGTAGAGCATCTGCTTTGCACGCAGAAGGTCCTAGGTTCTACCCCTGGGGTTTCCAGCTTTAAAAAAAGAAAAATAAGATAGGGTAGCAGATGACAAGGAAGACCTCTACTTGAGGCCCCAGAAAGCTGCTGCCAGTCCTAGGAGGTAGGAGTGTGGAGATGGTGTAGCAAAAGATTGAATTTCTGCATGTGAAACTCCCTGATTGAAGGCCCCAAGAGGTCTGAAGCACAGACATTCAACCTTTCCTCCTAACCCTACTGTTTTTCACCAGATCAGGGCTAGCTAATGAGGTGCCTTCCAGGTAGCTCAGACTACAGTTCCCATCATCCTCTACCAATGGTCATGCTGGCTGGGGATGACTGGGGTTGGAGTCCAAAACATCTGAAGGACACCATATCTGGTTGGTGACCCCTGCATTGGACAATCATGGATAAATGGTCAAGCAAAGTAGAAAGCAACTTCCTATAACAGGCACATCCCAAACATAGAGTTACCATGTGTCCTACTTGGGGAAGTCTTCTCTTTGAAGGGAGAGCAATCGAGACCTTGAAGCACCTGGACAGCAGACTGAAAGCAGGCCCACAAGTCACATGGTCCCTAGGGCAAGAAATCTTGTGTTTCTAATAAAATTGTAGCCACAGTTTCTAAATTTGCATCTATGCATGCAAATTAGCACATGCACATTTTAGGGAAATCTGTGCGCTTTTTTTTGGTCCTCAATATTTAATGATGCTTTTCCTTCCTGGGGAGCACGTTGCACAAGTGGTCATGCTAACCCAACTCCAGATGTTCCTGCATGGCTGGCTCCTCCTCAACTTCTCCAACAAGCCTTACTAGCTGAGCCTGGAGCATTCATTCAGCAACATGCCCCCTCCCCTCTTTTCCGTGCGCATTAATTCATCGCAGATCCTGCTGCATATTGACATGGGTGCTCAGAAAAGTCTATTTTAGGAAATTAAGTTGGCAGTGCAGGGTTGCTGTAGCTTTGCTCTGTGCCTTATTATAAACATTAATATGCAAACCCCATTCTGTAAGTTTGACAGATCTGGAGGAGCCCTGAATGTCACTCCTCGAACTGACACATTTTACTACTCATCCTCCTACTCGATCCATTGTTGCGTCTCCCATGACTGACACCAGGCGCCTGTTCCGTGACCCAGTAATTACCCCACACTGCCTCCCCCCCAACCTCACTTCCCCCCTGAATCACTAATAGTACAGTCTTTCCACATCAGTAACTCTCACAACATATCCATTACCTACCTAATTTGGAGAATGTCAAACTGTGAGATTTACATATGAAATGCTTAAAACAAATATAGCTAGCAGACTCATGGCTGCAAACAGAGGGAGAGGTGGTGAGGAAGCCAGGAGGTCAACCCGCGAAGCAAAATGGAGCCAGAGGGCATTTTTCAGATAGATGATTATATACCCACAACCATTTTTAATTTGTATTTAAAAAAAAAAAAATCAGGTTTTCATTCCATCCTTCTCCAAGGGCAGAATGGTTACTGCGTTGTTAATATTCAAAAGCAATGGATTTAAGCACTACCAAACTACTGCATAAACCTTATAAAAATCTATGCTAGCTGAAGTTACCTAGTGCAAAGAAGTAGTTGGAGTGTTGGATTTAGGGCTCACCCAGACCTTTTGCACCGCATTTCTAGGCATAGACCCATGCTTCAAAGCTCTGTGTCTGAACTGTGTTATTTTTTTTACCTGTTGCTTTCCTGCATTTTACTACTGAATTGGAGCAAACAGCAACCAGACTTTCTGCAAATTGCCGTTTGCTCTGATTCAGTGGTAAAACAGATGTTTTCCCAGGGAACATGCTGGGACAAAAAAAGAAACAGCTTGGACACAGAGCTTTAAAGCAGTGTTTCCCAACCTTGGGTCTCCAGCAGTTTTTGGACTACAACTCCCATCATCCCTAGCTAGCAAGACCAGTGGTCAGGGATGATGGGAACTGTAGTCCAAAAACAGCTGGAGACCCAAGGTTGGGAAACACTGCTTTAAAGCATGGGCCTGGGTCTGGAAAGTGTGGGATAGCCAGCATCCTACAACCAACATGTAAAAGTCTAATTAATAAATGAAGGGGTTAATACCATAGAGTAAACTAAGCTACCCTGCCACTTTTTCCCACCTTGGGAGGAACTAGGTAATCAAGCCTATTCCTCTCTCCCAGTCTATCTGAGAAGCTCATTGTTCGAAGAGGTTTGAGCTGGTTGCTCCAGCTCAGAACCTCATGGCTCTCACAAGTCATTCTTGAGTCCCTATAGAGTGGTACCTCGGGTTAATACACTTCAGGTTACATACACTTCAGGTTACAGACTCCACTAACCCAGAAATAGTACCTCGGGTTAAGAACTTGGCTTCAGGATGAGAACAGAAATCGCGCTCTGGCGGCGCGGCGGCAGCAGGAGGCCCCATTAGCGAAAGTGGTGCTTCAGGTTAAGAACAGTTTCAGGTTAAGAACGGACTTCCATAACTAATTAAGTACTTAACCCGAGGTAGGTACCACTGTGTCAATAATTTAGGAACTTTCACCACTTAGGCCTCTGAATAAGAGTTTCTGAAAATGACAAGTGGGGAGAGTCCTCTTACTGTCCTGAAACATTTTATTATTTATTATTACATTTACATCCCACCCTTTTCTCCAGGGAGATTAATGTGGCACGCATGGTTCTGCTCCTCTTCATTTAAATACCACACCAACCCTATGAGGTAGGTTAAAGGTAAAGGGTAAAGGGACCCCTGACCATTAGGTCCAGTTGTGACCGACTCTGGGGTTGCGGCGCTGATCTTGCTCTATAGGCCGAGGGAGCCAACGTTTGTCCACAGGCAGCTTCCAGGTCATGTGGCCAGCATGACTAAGCCGCTTCTGGCGAACCAGAGCAGCGCACAGAAACACCGTTGACCTTCCCGCCGGAGCGGTACCTATTTATCTACTTGCACTTTGACGTGCTTTCGAACTGCTAGGTTGGCAGGAGCAGGGACCGAGCAACGGGAACTCACCCCGTTGTGGGGATTTGAACCACCGACCTTCTGATCGGCAAGCCCTAGGCTCTGTGGTTTAGACCACAGCGCCACCCACGTCCCTATGAGGTAGGTTAGGATGAGATATATAATGACTGGCACATGGTCACCCAGGAAGCTTCATGGCTGAAAGGGAATTTGAACCCTGGTCTCCCAGGTCCTAGTCCAATACTTGAACCATTATATCACTCTGGCTTTAGACAGAGCAGCCAGCTGTAGGTGATATTGTCCAAGTAAGAGCTATGTAATGAACTCCAGGTTTTTAGTATAAGATGTTTATTAAATGATTCAAGAAAATGAGTAAGAGAATCAGGAACTACATAAAAATCTAAGTGGCCCATTCCAACCAATCCTAATAATAGAAATAGATTCTAAGATTGTTCTGGCAATTTATAGTGCAGGTTCCTTCTATGTGTCAAGTAGTGAGACACATTCTTCAAGGAAACGAGATGAGAGTCTCCTGGCAAATAAAGACCAATACATGGTCAAAGGACACATTTTCTCACTGTTCTTGGAGGTGTAGGGTGATGGCAAGCAAGTGTCCAATCAGAGGTGGTCCTGGGCTTTGCAAATCCCACCCTCACACACAGATGGAATACTCAGCACATTGCTGAGGCCAGGGGCAGGGAACTTTTCACAATTCAAGAGCCACATTGCTTCCTTGGCAACCACCCGATGGGTGGAGCCAGATGCAAAAGTGGGTGGAGCAAGAGGCTCTTCTCTTTGTCTGATAAGCTAAATTTCAGGTGTGCATAAGTGAGAGGTTCACCTTTCCCCATCCAGGCAAGCAAGAGGCATCTCCACAGTTCAAGGGCACATTCCAGTCAGGCAAAAGCACTCAAGGAGAGCACGGAGCAGGGTTGGTGAAGGGTGGAGCCTAGGAAGAAGGGACTTGGTGTTGAGCCTTGGATGCTCTGTGAAGGTTAAGCAAGTGTATGAAGAATACTAGAGGCTATGCCACCGCTCACTCCACTCACCAACTACCTGTCGGAATCTCCACTCGGCCAAGCTGATAAAGCTCATCTTCCTCCGAGCCTTCGGAATCGCCCCTCCAACAAATAATTAACGAGCCTTTGATAAGGCCTCAGGCACGTTCCGATTCAGCAGAGATTCAAAGCAGCACGCGGAAGTGATGAGATTTATGGCTACATCGCTATACTTTATTTCTTACTACGCAGACAGCAAAGAAATATACATCCTCTCTCTATGAAAGCAGAGAGCAACTGAACAACAAAGGAACAAAGGAAACAGGAAACCACTAACGTCACATCCCGTCTCCTGTCTCCCATGAGACTTCCAACAGTCTGGAAGGTCTCTGGAATGTAAACAGAGTCCTGTGACTCTAAGCAGCTGCTCAGTGGCAAACAGAAACTAACACTACCCTGCTATTCCTCCAGTATTCCCCTTCCTACCCCATGCAGCCACAAAGCTCCGTTTTCACCTTCCCAACCCCATTACCCCATTGCTCTTCTATTCTGCAGCCCTACTTGGGACCCATTTGCACCTTCACCCCTGTGTGCTTGCCTCCCCTTCTTTGGCGCAACCCCTCCCAAACAACAACAACCACCCACTCCCATGGTAGCCTCCCTCCCGCATTTTCCTCCTCCCTACACATTGCCCTTTTAATGCCCCTTCCTTCCACTGTTGTTTAAAACCATCACTTCCCCCCTATTGGTGTCCTTGCCTTCTCTCTCCCATGTCATGGCTGCAGCTGTTGTGTAATCTGCCTTCATTTTTGCTCCCCTCCTTTGCTCTGACTTCAGGCAACTCCAGGATATGGCACTATAAATCCACTAATGAGGAGCTGTGTGATGACATTCTCCCTTTTTTATTATATAGAGGGAAATCCATGGAGGATATTAGCCTCAATAGGTAAGGCGAACATCCAGGTTCAGCGGCCGTATACTACTAAATACCAAAGTGGGAGACTGTGCTTCCTGGAAGCACCTATCTGATCTCTGTGTGAAACAGGTTACTGGACTAGATGGAACCTTTGGTCTGAGTTCTTCCTATGCCTGTTATCACAGGGGGGAAATAAATGCAGGAGCTTAATTACAGATTCCGAGCACCGGGGCAATGTGCAGTTGACTAGCTATTTATTTACTTTTAATTAGATGTTTCTTTAAAAATGATTAATGGTTGGTATAAAACTAGCAATTACGAGTAATTATATAACGGGATCTTTAAAAAACATAAATAACTGTTCACTTAGTGGCAAAGTTTTAGGACATAATAAGCAGCTGTAACTCTGGGCTCAGGCAGGCACATAGCTGCACATAGTTGCAGCGGTCTAGTCACGGCCACATCATACTTTTAAAGCACACTTAATGCACATTTAAAGCACATGGCTTCCATCAAAGAATACTGAAAACTGTAGTCCATTAAAGGTGCTGGGGCTTGTAGTCTGTGAGGGGTTCATCACAGTTCCCAGGATTCTTTGGGGGAAGATATGTACTGTAAATGCACATTAAAGGTAAAGGTAAAGGTAAAGGGACCCCTGACCATTAGGTCCAGTCGTGACCGACTCTGAGGTTGCGGCGCTCATCTCACTTTACTGGCCGAGGGAGCCGGCGTACAGCTTCCGTGTCATGTGGCCAGCATGACTAATCCACTTCTGGCGAACCACAGCAGTGCATGGAAACGCCATTTACCTTCCCGCCAGAGTGGTACCTATTTATCTGCTTGAACTTGACATGCTTTCGAACTGCTAGGTTGGCAGGAGCAGGGACCGAGCAACAGGAGCTCACCCTGTCGTGGGGATTCGAACCGCTGACCTTCTGATTGGCAAGTCCTAGGCTCTGTGGTTTAACCCACAGTGCCACCGGTGTCCCCCAAATGCACATTAAATCAGCTTTAAATGTATGGTATGGGTGCGAGTCTAGGATCTCAAGGCAAAGATGCCCTAAAATTGGTTCCAAATCCAGTGTGCTGGTGTTTCTAGGCCAGGGGTGGGGAAGCTTTTTCCAGCCTGAGGGATGCATTCCTTTCTGAGGCCACACTGGGTATAGCTCAGTCGGTGGGGGATGAGACTCTTAATCTCAGGGTCTGGGTTCGAGCCCCATGTTGGACAAAAGATTCCTGCATTGCAGGGGGCTGGACTAGATGACCCTCATGGTCCCTTCCAACTCTACAATTCTTTGATTCCATGACAGTGGTCACCAGGGCCAGAGGCAAAAGCAGGTGGAGCAACGAATGCGAATTCTACCTTTGAATAAGTAGGCTAGTTTCTGCATGCATTCACACATCTGTCTCTAGCTATCATCCAGACAAGGAACAATAACAACAACAATAACAATAACAATTTATTATTTATACCCCGCCCATCTGGCTGAGTTTCCCCAGCCACTCTGGGCGGCTCCCAATCGAGTGTTAAAAACAATACAGCATTAAATATTAAAAACTTCCCTAAACAGGGCTGCCTTCAGATGTCTTTTAAAGATAGCTGCTTATTTCCTTCACATCTGAAGGGAGGGCATTCCACAGGGCAGGTGCCACTACCGAGAAGGCCCTCTGTTTGGTTCCCTGTAACCTCACTTCTCGCAATGCGGGAACTGCCAGAAGGCCCTCGGCGCTGGATCTCAGTGTTCGGGCTGAACGAAGAGGAATCATCATCATCACTACTATTTATTTATTACATTTCTAGACTACCCTTCATCCGATGACCACAGGGCAGTTTACAATGTAGAAACACACACAAAAATATTGTACAATAACAACGAACAAAAGCAATACAGCCAGGCAAGAACATCTGCCCCAAAGTCCTGCTGTGGCAGCCCCACGGAGAGGGACCTATCGCAAATTAGACCAGGGACAGTCAGCCTTTTGCTAGTTTTTCAGAGTCTGTAATCTTTAAACATGGGAATAAGTGGCTCTCTTTGCCCTCTGCTGTTTCCTGCGTAATGTGCACAAGCTCTTATCAGCATCTCTTGTGGCTTCTCCATGGCAATGACAATAGTTAAGCTCTGCTGCAGCTTAATCACTTGAAGCTACTAATTGATTGGGAAAGACATTTCTGATGCTAGTGAAGGGAGGGATCCAGTGGATGTATAAGGCAGCAGGAGCAGGAGATGGAGAGATCAAGCAAGATTTTGTGGGCTGTGCATCTGTGCTATGTGACTCTAGCCAGACTACAAAAGCTCATAATCTGGGGAAGGGGCACAGCTCAGTGGTAGAGCACATATTTGGCATTTAGAAAACCACCGCCATCATCTCACCCCCCCCCATTTCATAATAACATAATTATTGTAAATCGCCCTGTTATCCTCAGATGAAGGGTGGTATATAAATTTAATCATCGTCATCATCAACAACAAATATAACATACAAAAAACCAGCATGTCAGTACTATGCATACAGTATAACAAGATTACATTAGCAACATTACACCTCTTGATAACAGCAAAAATAACAAAGGGACTGGACAGTTTCACCTTGGCTGTAGAATCCTCCGCCCAATGATTTTGTCCAGCATTTCTCGATAGGGCTCAGAAGGACCCCCTGTTTCAGACCCTGGAGGGTGACTGCCAGTCAGTGTAGATTGTGGGGAACTGTTGTTAAACTCACAGCCACAATGGGAAGCGGTCAGGGATGCTGAGAATTGTAGTTCATCAATATTTGGGATAGCCTCAGGTTCCCCATTGCCTGGTGTATAAAGTGTTGTTATGAAAGCAAAGAGTAATGTTACCATAACTTCCACCATAGAGCTTCAATATGTCGATGACAACATAGCGTATGCACACTCAGAGGATGACCTCCAAACCATGCAAAATATCTTCACAGAAGCTTACGAAAAGCTTGGCCTATCACTCAACATCCAAAAAACCAAAGTGCTGCACCAACAAGTACAAAATAACCCACCCACAGCGCCACAAATCCAACTCAATGGTGTAACATTGGAAAATGTTGATCACTTCTCCTACCTGGGAAGTTATCTTTCCACAAGGGCCGACATTGATGCCGAAATCCAGCATCACCTGAGCTCTGCAAGTGCGGCTTTCTCCCAATTGAAGTGCAGAGTGTTTGAGGACAGGGACATTTGCAGGGAAACCAAAATGTTTGTTTACAAAGCTATTGTACTACCAACCTTACTGTACACTTGTGAAACATGGACCACTTATAAATGCGATCTCCAACTCCTCAAAATATTCCATCAACGGTCACTACAGAAAATTTAACAAATCACTTGGGAAGACAGGTGAACTAATGTCAGTGTACTGGAAGTAGCAAGGATCACCAGTGTCGAAGCAATGATTCTTCAATATCAACATTAATTTTGTTAGACTGGTCATGTTGTGCGGATGCCTGATGATCATCTTCCAAAGCAGCTACTCTTTTCTGAACTTAAAAATGGAAAGTGTAATGCTGGTGGTCAACAAAAGAGGCGTAAAGACTCTCTCAAGGCAAATTTTAAAAAAATGTAGTATAAACACCGACCATTGGCAAACACTGGCCTGCCAATGCTCCAACTGGCGAACAGCCTTTACCAAAGTGTCATGGGCTTTGAAGACACTCAAACTCAGGATGAAAGGGAGAAACGAGCTAAGAGGAAGGCACGCTTGGCAAACCCTTACCATGATCAACTCCTGCCCAGAAACCTATGTCCCCACTGTGGAAGGATGTGCACATCCATAACTGGCCTCCAAAGTCACCTATGGACACACCGCTAAGACTGTGTTCATGGAAGACAATCTTACTCAGCTACGTGTGATCACCAAAGAAGAAGACAGTGTTGATCTAGAGCAGTGGTTCTCAAAGGGTGTGGCAGGAAAGGATGACGGGAATATTCAAGGACAAGCAAAGAAACATTCAAACATTCCAGTGTAGTATAGCACAGTATCTATCTATCTATCTATCTATCTATCTATCAATACATAATTTGCCCCTCCGTGCCCCAGTAAGCAGAAGTGGCCCATCTGCCAGGAAGTTAGGGGAGTGGCTCTGTCCTACCCAGTCAGCTGTTTCTGCCTCCTAGCAACTGACATTCTCCTGTCATGCAAACATTAGGCTGATGTCTACAAAGCGCTGGACTGGATGGACACTGTCAAGACAACATCTTAAGCTCCTGTTTTTTGTTTACAGGAGTGATTAAAAGGAGAAGGCTTTGCATCAAAAGAGCAAAAGGGAGACTGCCCCTCTCCAGTGGAACATCACACCTGATCTGAGGAAAACAGCCGAGAAACAATCAGACATTTGTTCACCTCTATCTCTTGCATGTAATGGAAACAACTAATGAAGATGATTAACCATTAACCTTGGGTTCAGTTTTGCAAGGCAGTGAGTAGCATTTTAAAAAAGCAGTTAATTACTCTGCTTCACTGGAAGGAGCTTGGAGGCTGGAGCAATTTGGAGTCTCCGAGGCAACATTTCTCAATCTGTTTTCACCAGAGGAAATCGCTTTGATCTCCAGAGGAACGCCCAGAGAACGAGGGTTTGAGAAATGCAGCCCATAGGCAAAGTTCATATACACATCAGCTTGGTTTCTTATCTAAGTAATAAGACAAAGTAAGTGTTGAAGCTGAATAGAATTCTGTGTGATTAACCCTTAGTCTAAGAAATCAAGGGTGCTTTCTAGCCTTGTAATAAATAGTCTTTGCAGTTTTAAAAAGGTTGTGCATTTCAGCTAATTACAAAGATATTAAGACAGCCTCCCTCAACCTGGTGCCCACCAGATGTTGTTGGATTCCATCTTCCCTCACCCCCTACCAGCATGGCCCAATGGTCTTGATAGGAGTTGGAGTTTCCCCCCCATCCCTAGAGGGCAGTGGTTTGTTGGGTATATAAGGGGCGAGATGATCTTTTAATAGCAGGTGTAGCAATCACAAACTTTGGCGAACACAAGCCACTGGACTTTAGTTTGCAATTAATTCCTCCTGGGTCAGATGAAGGCACGCCTGTACTGCTCCCAATCCCCAGATTGCTGTCCCTAGGGGCAGGATTAACAAAAGGTTCAGACATATAGAAAAATAATGGAGTTGTCAGGAAGAAGAATAGATTTTGCTCTCCCTGTAGATTGTGCTGGTGCCAGCCAACCATTGTCACAGTGGAATGCCAAGCTAATGTTTTCCTCAGATGGTTGGAAATATGAAAGCTATTAGTTTGGTAATGCAGAGCAAGTGAGAAAATATGTTTGGAGGGAAATCCTGCTCAGTGCGCTGGAGGTGTGAGCTTTCAAGTATTGTACACTTGAGAAACACAATAATATCGAGGCAAATCCAAGAACCTGGGGGAAAGGAAAGTGTCTGGGATAGAAGAACATGCCAACAGAAAACAGCTGCAGCCTCCAGAAGAGCCTTTCTCAACGTTGGGTCTCCAAATATTCTGGAACTACAACTCCCATAATCCCTGACCACTGGTAGTCCAACAACATCTAGGAACCCAAGGTTAGAAAGACTTCATTAAGGACAGCCCCAGCACTGGAGAAGTGTCAGTGGTTGTGCTGCATGGAGGCACTACTGACAGGGGAAAATGTAGTTGTGAGGTCTTGGAAGCCCAATTCAGGTTGCTAGGCAAGATGCCAAAAGCCAGGACCTCGGGGACTTCCAGGGTGGCGCCATCGGCAATGGCGGACTCCCTCTGAATTGGAGGGACTAGCTCCGCGCGAAACGGGTCTTCTCCGCTACGGCGAAGCGGGGACCCTTTTAAAAATCACAGGCGGATGACGCCGGTGACCATGGCCCTCGGCGGGCACCTTTCGCGCCCCCAACCCGCAAAGGAACCCACTAACGGGCTCCAAAGCGAAAAGGGGGAAGTGGCGCGGTGCTGTGAGTCAACTGCTATTTCCGTGGAGCGAAGCCGCACAGCTGTTGCCGGAGAGCGCTGCCTTTTTCCTGGGACAAATTGGCTTCTAAAATAAGCACCCGTGAGTACTTAAACTTTGAACAATTGGACTTTAAATAAGGACTTGCGAGCAGAAAGGAATTGGACTTAAAAATTTTATTTCAATTTGGTACTGAAACGGGAAGGTCTAAACAGGAAGTCAGCCTTCCGTTTCTTTGTAGACAGAATAAAGCAAAGACAACGTAAACTAGAGCTCAGAAAATCGCCTCTAAAGGATTGACTTTCATCATTTAAA